GAGTCCCACGTCGGGCTTCCGGTGCATGGAGCCTGCTTCTCCCTCTGCCTGTGTCTCTGCCTCTCTCTCTCTGTGACTATCATAAATAAATAAAAAAAAAAAATTAAAAAAAAAAAAGAAAGGCAGAGTTGATTGCTAACGGATTTCGATGTGAGTCGATGTTATTTGATGATACCCTGTCGCCATTCTTCATTTCCACGAACGTCAGAATGAGGGGGTTAAATTGAGCTCACGCAGAATTTATATTCTATATGCGGCAGAGGGGAGTTTGCAATCTAAGGGCAACTTTGTAATGTATTTAGGGAACCTATCTTTGACTTTCTTTAGAACAGGGATAGGCAAGCATTTTTTGTGACGTGTCAGATAGTAAATATCTTAGACTCTGTGGGCCCCACAGTCTCTGTCACAGTCCCTCATGGACACTCTGTAGGACAAAGCAGCCTCGGACAAGAGGAAACAAATGGCTGTGACTAAGTTCCAACACAACCTTGTTCACAAAGCGGACAGCAGGCCAGATTTGGGCCATGGGTTTTAGTTTACCAAACCCCGCTTTACAAGATCAGAAGCAGAGACTGTAAAATCAATTTTCCAAGGAGAAACATTTTGGGGGGATTTCATTTAGCAGCTCCCACAATACGACGAGAGCCCAAGGGTTCCTGTGCAGGGAACCCTTCTACTCCATCCCCTTCTGGGGAGCCTGTCGGGTGGCTACACCCTTTAGGCTTCAGAGTGACCATGCTGAGAAGTGGTGCAGGATTTCTAAGCCATGTTACTGATGGAGGTTGTTGAATCTTCTGATGGGATCCTTCAGTTCGTTTTTAAACACATTCAAGTGTGTTTTCATTATAATAAAAAGGTTCATATACTGGCCTGCGCCCCTGCCCCCCCCCAGCGGGGCGCAGGGCCTGGCTGGGGGCAGGCGGGGGCTCCGCTGTGCAGGGCATGTTACATTGTGAGAGCCTCTGGTTGGTAGGTTGGTTGCAAGAGATGACAAGACATTGATATATATTTTTTCCTTTCGGTAAAGGTTTCTCAATTTTTATTTTTTTTTAATTTTTTTAATTTATTATTATTATTTTTTTTAGGTTTCTCAATTTTTAAATGTTCAGAATTAATCATTGAAGATCTGCGCGGCCAATGTATGCGCTTGAGACAAAACAGATCCGAATGCTCAAAATGAACTTTGAGCCATAATTTACAACTTCTGCGGCAGAGGGTAGGTTTCTTTTTGAAGAACTTCGATTTGAAAGATAAAGAGGCCTATGCAGGCTCTGTAAGAGGCAGAATAGGCGAAGATAAACTGACAGAAGACGAGACAGAGTCGGAGCTACAGCAAAATGAAGTCATCCATACCTGGAACATAGTCTGTGCCTAGTAAATATTTGCTTTTCGGATTGGATAAATTGAATAAATAATTCTTCCAGTTAAATATTTGAACTACCATAAAGTATGAGTAAGCAGAGTAGGTTGGCGGTAAATCAGTTGAGAGAAAAGCAGAAAAGACATACAAAGGAAAGTAGAAACTCAGATGAAGATCATTTAGGCCATGAGCGAGAAGGGGGAAGAATGTGGTCCCTCGAGTTGCCTTTCTTCATTCTAGTTCTAGACCTTTGTCACCTATAAGCTTATAATAATGTCCTCTTATCCTTAGCTAGCCTGAGTAGACTTCTTTTCTGGTAATTAAGAGAATCTTAACCAAGCATATAACATCACTGAATAATCTAGTTGTTGCAGAGTCAGTGACTACAGGGACATGACGGTCAGTCTTACCTGTGGGGTCCCAAGGAAACTCACATACAATTCCAAAACTATATACAATTCCAAAATATAAGAATTGTTTTATCATTCGATGATGTTCATTGTTGTCAGTTAATTTGAGATTATAAAGGTCATTACCTATCATTCAAAGGCTCTGATACAGTCTTTGCTGCAAGTGGTACTTTGAGCAATTGGAAAGTACTTTGGGACGCCTGGGTGGTTCAGTGGTTGAGCGCCTTCAGCTCAGGGCATGATCCCAGGGTCCCACATCAGGCTCCCCAGAGGGAGCCTGCCTCTCTCTCTATGTCTCTGCCTTTCTCTTTGTGTCTCTCGTGAATAAATAAATGAAATCTTTAAAAGAAAATTGGAAAGTAATTCAAAGAATAAAGTTCTAAAAAAGTTATAATTTAGTGAATGGGGTTTGGGTTGTATGCTATACAAAATAAATATAGTTTCTGGTAAACTGGGATCTTGAAGTTTTTCCCATTTAAAATTATACTTTTTTTTACATTGAAATTTCATAAATCGGAATCTTGCTTTTCAAAATTCATAAATGTTTGTTAAAGCCAATGAGTCTATGCTTCATGATATAAAAGAATATAAAGTTTATTCACCTACCACATATATTTACATGATTATTTTAGTGCTCTCATTTATGGCATATTAAAATATTTTAAATGAAAATCTTATGAACAAGTTTTAGATTTATGAAAACCAACCTATTAACTCTTAGGTTTGGATGGGTAATGAGGCCACTTGCCCACACAGCTTGAGGCAGTTTGGCCACTCTAAAATTTATTATTAGGTTAATCTGCTTTAAGTAACACATGTCCATTTTAGCCATGCCTCTTTTTAGAGTAGTGAATTTAGCAGGAGCATTGAATTTGCCTATTGTACTCAATAAAATAAAGCAATAAGGACTGATCATTTCTACTGATCCTGGGGTAAGATAAAGGAATTTTAAAGACTTTAATCCTAGACTTTCTTTTCCATTTGGCAAATATCTAATGATGTCTGAAAACGACATGCTACTTTAGGTATGGCTTCAATAGCTGGATTCAAAGAAGGTAAAATAACACATGGAGAATTTATTGATGTGACAAGGAAAAATATAATTAATTATCGAAACCATTTTGCAATATCTCTGAACTTAAAGTCCATATATTACTCATAATTACTCGGCTTCATTGGATGCTGAACTTTCCTGAACTGTTTTGGAGTATTTATTTTTTATTATTTTTTTTTAATCATTGATAACTTTTTTTTTTTATCGTTGGTAAAATTAGACCCTAGATAATCTGGGCCTATGCTAGACTGGCTCTCTTTTATAAACCACTCTGACGTCATTGTGGTTCATGAACTAACAAACAATTTCAAAATGGGGAGTAAACAAAACACCATCTTAAATGTTCTGGTAAATATACTGTAACAATCATGACAAAAGAACATTATAACCAGTTAAATGGCCACCAGAGGATGACAAAGTAATGGGGAGAACCTAACTTAAAACATTTCTTTTAGAAAGTGGTGGGAGGGGATCGGAGGGGATCCCTGGGTGGCCAGCGGTTTTGGGCCTGCCTTTGGCCCAGGGCGCGATCCTGGAGACCCGGGATCGAATCCCACGTTGGGCTCCCGGTGCATGGAGCCTGCTTCTGTCTCTGCCTCTCTCCTCTCTCTCTGTGTGTGTGTGACTATCATAAATAAATAAAAATTAAAAAAAAAAAAAAGAAGAAAGTGGTGGGAATTGGGACGCCTGGGTGGCTCAATGTTTGAGCGTCTGCCTTTGGCTCAGAGTGTGATCCTGATCCAGAGATCGAGTCCCACATCGGGCTACCTGTGAGGAGCCTGCTTTTCCTTCTATGTCTCTGTGTCTCCCATGAATTTAAAAAAAAAAAAAAAAAAAAAAAAAAAAAAGGAAGTGGTGGGAATTAAGAACAGGGGAAGGTTCTCCTGGTAGGTGATTATACTTATTTTCCCTACTTCCAGTTAATGATGTTGGCACATAGTAGCTATTACTTGTTTATTTTTAAAGATTTATTTATTTATTAGAAAGAGAGGAAGAGTGTGCCTTTGAGAGCATGGGAAGGAGCAGAAGGAGACAGAGAAGGGAGAGAATCTCAGACAGACTCCCTGCTGAGCATGGAACTCCATGTGAGGCTCTATCTCAGGAGCCTGAGATGAGGGCCTGAGCTGAGACCAAGAGTTGGATGCTTACCAAACTAAGCCACCATGTGCCCCTCTATTAGTTGCTTATCAACTTGCATTTTTCTATGTAAATTTGCCCCAATGCATTGAGGAACTTGATTATAAATGGAAAAATAAACACACAAATGAACAAATAATTTAATATAAATCCACTGGCAATAGCATTTCATTGAACTGTTCTGGATAGATTATTTTTCTGAATTTTTGAAATGTTTGTTATTATCCTAAGAGTAAAAAAAATATTATTTTTTATTTTTATTTTTTAAAAGGTTTTATGTATTTATTCATGAGAGACACACAGAGAGAGGCAGAGACATAGGGAGAGAAGCAGGCTCCCTGTGGGGAGCCTGATGCAGGACTCTATCCAAGGACCTCGGAATCACGGTCAGGACATGAGCCAAAGACAGATGCTCTACCACTGAGCCACCCAGGTACCCCTATCCTAGTTTTCTTACACGTAAATTTACTTTTACAATTGAAACTACATTTTAAGGAACAAAAATAGGAATAAACAATATTACGTGAGAATGACTGGCCTTAAGAACATATTTGTGAATTGGGTCATTCCATATAATTTGTGTACTAAAACAACAGCTTTCCTAGCAGCAATACTCTGATCACCATATTGAAAAGGAGAAAATGTTAATTAATGAAACACAAAATTCTAAGCTCCCAGTTAAAGATATGGCTTCTGTATGCATCAAGATCCAAACAGGAAGAAAATAAAAAAAAAAAAAAAAGGTGCATGCAATAGGGTAATTTGAAGAATGCTTGCTTAATAAAAGGCAGTGCCACAGGTAAACCATAGGTATAATGAAATACCCCGAGGCTCTGTAACAATTGCTTTAACAGCGATGTCCTGAAGACTGACTGGCAGAAAATACAACCTTAAACAAGATATAGAGTCAGCCCAGAATTACCCTGGAGGAAGCAGTGGGGGGGACTATATACCCTGACCTCACTCTCCTGCTTCTCTCTAAGCTGTTGATAGTGTTGCCCATTGGATGAAGTCAACCGGAAGCCCGGTGCAGAGCTCATCTCACCGCCCTGAGATCATGACCTGAGCAAAAATCAAGTCTGCCACTCAAACACCTGAGCCACCCAGGTGCCCCCTGGGCCATAGCACAGGATGCAGAAGGAAGGAGAATGCAATTCAAAAGGTAAATAAAGGTATTCAGTATAGATTCTGATCTTTGATTTTCTCAAGACTTCTTTTGTGTGTAACCTTGGAAACTTACTTAACCTTTCTACCTCTGATCATTCTTATTTATTTATTTATTTTTAAAAGATTTTGTTGTGCCCAAGATCACGAATCCAAGAAACCACCGAGGGGCCCGCCCCGATGCAAACACACGAGGGTTGATTTACAAGCTCAAGCTTGGGCCCAGGTGCACCTGACACAGCGGAGCAGGGACTTGGACCCCAGGTGGGTTTTAGCTTAGTTTTAAGGACTGGTCTAGGGGACCTCCAGGAGGGGGGGGGGAGCAATTGCTCCAGTTCTGTTTACATGTTGATATGGGGCCTTCAAGGGCATTGAGCTCTGTTCTCATTCTAATAGGGGCTTCCTGCCCTTGGCCTGGGCTCAGTTTTTATTCTAATGTGGGGCTTTCTAGGACATTAAGCTGGAAACTTTTGTTTTTTTCCTGCAACTGAAGTAATGTAAATTTCAGCTCTTCTTCCCAGGGGCCTGGGATGGCTGGACACGTGCTAACACTGAACTTAAAGTGGAGTGGCCTTAATTTTCTCGGCCTCCACAGATTTTACTTATTTATTCATGAGAGGCAGAGAGAGGCAGAGACATAGGCAGATGGAGGAGAAGCAGGCTCCATGCGGGAGCCGGACGTGGGGCTCGATCCTGGGACTTTGGGATCAGGCCTGGAGCCGAAGGCAGAAGCTCAGCCACTGAGCCACTCAGGCCTCCGGATAATTCTTATCTTTAAAATACGATCCCTTACAATTCTAAACTGGCCATGATTCTCTGAAAACAACTTCAGAATCAGAAAACAACTTCAACTGTCCTTAAATTTGCAGGGTTTTATACTACTAAATGAAATGTATTTTAAAGTCTCATAACAATTTAAAGGTTTACTTTCAATTACTTCTAATTTTTAGGTGGTTTTATGACACTATTACTTACTCTTGGCAATTAACCTTTTAAGTACAAAGGCTCTACAGTAAGAACTTTAGCTATTTAATATTTTCCTTCCTATGAAATAATTCTTTTGAGCCTCTCTGCTATAATTCATTTTGTTTTATACATGAAAATTTTGACCTTTAAAATATATATAGATATTTAATTTAAAATAATCTGTTCTTTTGTAATATTAAAACATAAAATACCAGCATAATTCTAATTTATTTCTAGATACTTTTACTTAGCATGGGAAATTGTTTTCAAAAAATATGAATAATATTGATTGAGTCAAGATTTATTTTTATTTTTATTTTTGAGTCGAGATTTTGAATTAGATATTTATACATATTTCATTTAAATTTGCACACTCCTCATATTATATAAATATTAGAGACTGATTTTACAGAAGAGGAAACTGAGGAGTAGAAAATATTAAGTCCTAGGTTACATAGGTAATAAATGGTCAGGTCAGGATTTGAGCACAGATCTATCTCATCCCAAACTGAGACATTTCCTGAAATATACAACATGGTATTTATACTCTCCCCCACTTTCTCTAATAATTTTTTACTACACAGTAATCGCCTGTGTTTTGAGAAAATCACATGAGCATCTGTGTTATGGTTAGATTTCAAGTTTGAAGCAGAACATCTGTAAATACAGAATTCTAATGAGGTTCTTGTTTAGTAAGTGGTCTGTGTCTATAACAATGTATTTTTGAGATCTAGAAAGTTGAAGTTAACACTCAAAGTACACAAAAGATGGTGTTTACATTTATGATTTTCATTGTTGACATGTTTCATGTTTAAAATTTAAGCTTGTTGATTCAAGGGAAGACAAATGAGGCAAGAATCGAAATCTTAGGGGATGTGCTTTCCTACACAAAAGAAAATACAGCAGATGTGGAAAAAGAGAGTGGAGATTTCGAGAGATTCTATTTCCAATAATGGTAAAATAGCTAGCTGTGGCACAACTTTGTCACTGAGAACAACCAGAAAAGATGGAAAAAAAAAAAAAAAGCCCCAAATCTGACCTACAACATCAGAGAACTAGCAAGGTGGCCATGGTGAGAAGGAAGGGAAGTAAATAGAAATAAGCCTGACGTTCCTTATCCCTTTTCCTTTTAAAATTATTTGCCAATTATATCATGCATAGCTAAAGGGCCAACAAGTTTTTTAAAAAGGAGCACTAAATGGATAAGGAACTGAGCAGATTTTTGACAGTATTAGGGGCTGGTGAGACAAATATTGGAAATCAGGTAGTATCAAAGTGCAGATGTCCTAGAAAATACTCAAGATATACATTTAGGAACCTAGAACTATCACACTATCACAACCTAAGAGGAAGTGTAAACTGGAAATATACCCACTCTCACAAAGGACTGAAAAACAACTTAAAACCAACTTGATCCTAAACCAAATAGTCATCTTTTCTTACTCAGATGCTTGCCATGAAGCAGAAATATGTATTTTATTTGTTTTGTATTTCTGGAGAGATATTATATTAGCCAGAACCTCAGTTAATCTTGCATTTTTTTAATATTAAAGACTGGCATATAAAGAAAAACAAAAATATCAAGAATTCCAAAAGAAGAGCAAATGACAAAAAATATTTAAAAAAATAGAAAAACAGTGTACCAGGTAATCCAAATATTGGAATAACCATTCATGGACTTTAAATAACTGAGATTAGTGCCTGGATGACACAGTCAGTTAAACATTTGACTCTTGGTTTTGGTTCAGATATTGATCTCAGGGTGGTAAGATCAAGCTCTGCATTGGGCTCCATGCTCAGCATTAGAGCCTGCTTAGGGCTCTCTCTCTCTCTCTCTCTCCCTCTGCCCCTACCCTCTGCTCTCTCTCTCTCTCTCTCTCTGAAATAAATAAATAAATCTTTAAAAAAATAAAATAATTTAGATTAGTGTCCAAGAAAATATATGACAGAATTGAAAAAGTCACCAAGAACTGAAATATATAAAATAGAATATATTGAACATTCTGGAACTGAAACAAAAATGAATAGCTTTAATTAAGGTTTTCATACATGTATTTAATAGCATATTAAACATAGTGGAAAAGATGATTAGTGAACTGGAAAATATGTCAATAGGAAATAGCTATATTGAAGCTTAGAGTAAAAAGGATGGAAAATATATAAAAAGGGTTTATGAGACATGATAAAAAGACAAAACTTTCATATTTTAGGGGTATTCAGAAGGAGAGGAAAGAGAATGGGCAAAATAAATTTTGAATAAATAGTGGTGAATATTTTCCAAAATTCTCTAATTATTGGCTATTTTGGGGAACTCTGGAACCTAGTCAAGTTGACACACAAGATTAACCATAGCAATATCTACTGAGAATTTTGGAAAATTGCTTTCTGGATGTGTATCTGTAAGGGCATTCCTGGATGTTATTAACATTTGAGTCAGTAGACTGAGCAAAGCAGATTGTCTCCCTAATGTAGGCAATCAACGGCCTGAATAGGACAAAAATGCTTAGTAAGAGGGATCTTCTGCCTGACTGCTTGAGCTAGAACCTTGGTCTTTTCTGGTTTTTAGACTGGGACTGAAACATTGGTTCTTTTTGGTTCTTGAATTGGCCAGCTTTCAGACTAGAACTTACACTACCAGTTCCCCTAGTTCTTGGGCCTTTGAACTTAGAGTGGAACTATACATTGTCTTTCCTGGATCTCAGCTTGCTAACTACAAATCCTTGGACTACTCAGCCTTCAAATCACTACACGAGCCAAATCTATCACACACACACACACACACACACACACGCACGCACACCCTGTGCATGCACAAAACATACATCTTATTTGTTCTGTAGAATTCTTATTAATACAGTTATGAAGCCACAAATCCAAGAAATTTCATTAAAACCCATTCAGGATAAATATAGAATATCATACTTGTACACCTCACTGTCAAATGATTATAAACCAAACACAAATCTTCAAAGCAGCCAGGGTGAAAGCATACTATTATCAAAGAAGAAACAAGATGGAGAACTGATTTTTCAATGGAAATAAATGAAAAGATAAAAGTGAAATGATATCTTTAAAGTACTGAGAGGAGGGCAGCCCAGGTGGCTCAGTGGTTTAGCACTGTCGTTAGCCCAGGGTGTGATCCTGGAGACCAAGGATCGAGTCCCACGTTGGGCTCCTTGCATGGAGTCTGCTTCTCCCTCTAACTGTGTCTCTGCCTCTTTCTCTCTGTGTGTCTTTCATGAATAAATAAAATCTTTAAAAAAATAAATAAGTACTGAGAAGAATCATCAACCTACAGTTCTATATCCAGTAAAAACACCCTTCAAGAATAAAGGCAAAGTAAGTAAAGTCTCTGGACTAACAATACTTTAGAAACTTTTTTTTTCAACAAATAGGCACTAAAAAGAAATACTAAAGAAAGTTCTTCAGACAGAAGCAAAATGATTCCTTGTGAAAACATAGGACTACAGCAGTAAATTATGATGTATAAAAAAGATAAACACATGGAGAAATCGAGATGGATGTTTCACAAAGCCCCAGTAATTATTGCTTCATAGTTTTAAATGTGTGTACAATTTGAAAAGACAACTATAATATATACAAGGTGGGAGGAACTTAAAGGAGATAAAGTTGTCAAAATACTGGCATTGTCAGGGAAGAGAGAAAAATAGAATGCATGGTGTAATGTCTACAGTTATTCACTAAGAAAAAAAGAATTTTATAATGTCTATAGGTATTCACTAAGAAAGAAAAAGAATGTATAATTAACAAGTGAGTGAGTTTTAAAAATGAGGAAAATAACTGATTAATCAAAAAAGGAAAATGAAGGGATTACTAGAAAACACCTGTAGGGTGTTAGATTTAAACTTAAGCAAAAAATACATTAAATGCAAATATTTTAAATAATTTCATTTGAAGATCATGATAGATAATTTTCAATTAATTCACAATTTTATACAGAAATAAAATAAACACATATTAAAGAGTTTATTTAACTCATAGTCATGAGTAAACCTGGCATATATTATAGCCAATTGAAAAGAGAGACCCTAAGAACAGGTACATTTATAAATCAGGAATAATGAAATGAATATGTATACACGGACAAACTTTTTTTCCATAGGATAGGAGGGAACGCAATTGAATTTCCACCAAACCAGACATAATTTGCGTATCTACACATTTATAGGCTCAAAGATAATGAAGGGTTAGAATGATATAACATGGGTAGGTGTCCACGTTATGGCACTTTTCTCCTCAATAAAGACTTCTAGAATGAATATAAAAACAAAACATAG